GAGGCCTGAGGCGGGGGAGGCCCGGGCCCAAAGCCCGCAGCCCCGTGCTAGGCACGAATGGCCGAGATGATATCCCTTTTCAGGGCCCGGGAACAGGAGATGAGCCCTGCAACACCGAGAGCGGGACAGGGAAGGCAGGGTAGGAGCGGTACCGTCTCCCGCAAGCAGCAGCACAGGGCAGCAAAGGCGGGCAGTTGGGCGCAGGTTGAAGGCAGGAGTTGTTTCACCACAGCGTACAGCAGGGTAAAATGAGGAACTTTGCTTCCGCAGGATGCTGTGGCTGCCGGCCGCTCACCTGCCCTCAGAGGGCACTCTGGCAAATCCATGAAAGAAACGTCCTTCAGAGCTGCTACGTACAGATTATAAAAATCACCTTTCATTATAAAGTTTCAGACATGCCGAGGGCTGGAAGCATGGCCCAGGAGAGTACCAACACGGGCTACTTCTGTTCCTAGGGTCACCCTCAACACCCCCTTGGGCTGTCACTGCAGGCAGGACACTGAACTAGGCAGAGCCTGGGTCTGACCCAGCCGAGTGGGACTTGGGATAGATGCAGCAACCCTTGCTGAGCCACTACACACAGGAAAAAAAACAAAACTAAATAATGTACCTGCCCACTGCCTCAAACTTCATTAGTAGCAGGGATAGAGTACTGTGCATGTGAAAAAAGAAAACCCAACTTCAGCTTCACGTTTCACAATATATAATTACAGACAGCAAAGCAATGCCAGAGCTGTATGAAATGCAAGCCTATTTGAAGAATCTATTTGCCCTTCAAGAAAGTGCTCTGAGAAGCCTGTGGTTTTTTCTGCATTGCAGACTAGCCCTGTAATTGCATCTTCTTGTGCTTCAACCTTATACTGAAATACAATGCTGTCAGGAACACAATTTCCTGGCTTTGCTGCAGTACACTCAGTTTTTGGCATTGCACTGCTTTTGCACTGGTGCCAAACCTCATGATGAATAATTTGTGTCAAACAGAGCAAATTAGTGCTCAATCTAGTATGGAAATAACAAGGATCATATCTCAAAGCACAGCACTTCTCAATATAATGAGCTGCCCGAGAACGAAACTAAAAACGCAAAGATGAAGAAGTATTTATAGGTACAGTCTTAGCTGAGTAGAATATTAAAAATACAATTTAGAAAGCATATAGTCATAGAGAAATGTGTTGTAACAAAGGAGGAAATTGGATGCATTATTTAACAAATAATATTCGAACACTCAAGCAGTGCTGTTCTAGAATAACACTTAGAATACATTACTACTACTGCAAGATAGATTTCCATTCATTCCTCTTGCGATCTTTCATCTTGTAAGCATGTATATTTGTATTCTGATTTTTATGTACTCAGTTTTATTTAGATACTGGTAAAAGGATCACAATCCCCAGAGAAATTACTATTGCTTAATTGCTGCTGTGTGGACCATTTCCTGGTATGTCTGAATAGTGTCTGTCAAAATACACTTTAGAACAGAAAGGCCATGCTTAAAGCGTGGCATGTGGGTTACGTACCAATCCAAGCTACAAGATGACTGCTCAGAGCAAGCATAGGTGGGGTCTTCAGCGTTGACTAATTTATGAAGAAATGAGAACTTGAGGGAAAGAGAAATGGCAACTTGCCACCTCAGGGTGTGAGGATATTTCCCTAGAAGCAAACTCAGACTGCTTTTTTTTCTGACAGGATAGAGTAACTTTTGCATGTATTGTATTGAAGAATAATAAAATTGTTAATCAGAACTTGTTGCTACACAGTTCTGTTTAAGCCAGAATGAAAACAGGGCTGTTAATCTATATGTTAACAAGCATTAATCACAAAAGAATGTTTTACCTCTTAAACCAGTAATAGAAATGTATGCAAACCCTGCCAGAGAGAGCACACAAACAGTTGAGTTAACATTCTACCCGACTGTGGAAGTGGAAACACCTGGTGCAGCAGGACAGCTGAAAATGACAATTTTTTAAACTTCCTCCAGAGTATTGCCTGCCCACTGGTTTAATTATTTTTCTTGCAAACAAAATAACTAATTCAGTTAAAAGCTACATCGTGTAAGAAGAGACAAAAGACACCTATTCTATGTTGGTATAATCATTTTCCAAGTTACCTGGAGTTGTATAATACACTAAAATTTCATTAGAAGAACTTGCTGACAGAACAAAGATTTGTTCCGAAGTTTACAAGCATCTGTTGTGAAGCGTACACTAACTTCAACCACCTAACGCCAGACCTCAGTGGGCAAGCCTGCACACAACTGCATTTTCATTTCCTCCAAGGATACCACAGTCCAAACTTTCCCATTTTCGTAACAGAATTGATAAGGTCATTAATTACATTCCTGGCCCTCTAATACTACTAAAAACACCGCACCATTTGATTTTGCAAAATTTGAGGACAAACCACTTGCTTGGGTGCAAATTCAATTAAATTTGTACACAACTCTGGTATTGTTTGTTTGAATTGTTTATGTCATCTTTATCTAAAATCGCAAAAGAACGCCACCTACTGTCTTTCAATTTATTTTTTTTTAAACTTCTTGAGCTTCATTAATTATTGACTTACGCTTTTATTCCTCTTTATTGCATTCCCAACAGGAAATGAGAAGGATGATTTTCCAACTTCAGACTCCCTAAGGGAGGGACGGCATTACTTTATTTCCAAACACAGGCTGAGCATTTTTGAACGGGAGGCTTACAGGAAGGTAGTTTCTTATTTGAGACTTGGGTCATACAAGGACCTGCTAATTCTTATCAGGCCGTTTCGTAATGGACTTTGGTCTTAATTGAAACTGTCAAGTAAGACTAGATTTCACATTTGGGCATAGCAGGCAATACGGTGATCAGAACAGATAGCGTGGGCTAGAACATAGGTTATTTTTTACATGAAAATACTTCTGCTGATCTGAGGAAAATTTACTACTACTACCAAAAAAGTACCTTTTGCAACTGGGGCTTTCTGCCGCAGAGCCCATTTTCACACTGCTAGAAGCAGCCTCTTCCATAACCCACCCAAGTTGCTAAGAAGGAAGCAGGAATAAAATTGGCTTAGATTTTCACATTTTTTCCTCCTACTTTGAAATGAGAATTGCTGGGAAGCTGTTCAATACAGACGACAGTCAGTATATACAACATTTTGGGGTGTTGGGCTTTGTGTTGTGGTTTGGGTTTTTTTTCCTGTTGTTTTTTTGAACTCACTGAATAGGTCACTACAAAACCCTGATGGGACTGGCTTGATTTTAAGATTGATAGTGCAAACCTTCCTGAAGGCCTTTGCATTGTTGCCCTCTTCATTCCTAACTCACCACAGCTAGTTAGTTCAGTTACAGGGAACAACCTGAGGTTACACAAATATTGAACTTCTGTAAGAAAAAAAAAAAAAAATAAAAAATCCAACTACTTATGTAGTACCAAGGGTAGATCACAAATTTTCCACCATGATCAGAAACCATGACTTGTCGACTTTGAAGATCAGAATTGTTTGCAGTGCTTCCAGATTACTTGATGGCTACACCTTGTTCTTTGTTTTCCATGGTTGCATTCTAATTGGTAACTTTTTTTTTTAAAGTAACTGTAGGTACATTCTGCTTTAGACTTAGTCACATTTTTCTACCAGACACTCCCTTCAACTTAGTCTTGGACATCTCTCTGTCTACAGACATGGTAATCCTCGTTTTCGTACTACAAGCAGAGCATCTGAGGGAAAGGTGCAGTCAATAATGCCTCCCGCGAATCCAATCCAAACGTCAGCCACGTTCAATGCTCTGTTTGATGGATTCAAGCAGATACATATGCTTGCAGATGTTATTTGACTCTAGATGGTCATGGCCTTTCCTCCCTTTCTATAAATAAAGACAAGTCTTGCATTCTTCAAGGTTTAACGTTCATAATTAAAGCAAAACCATGCTGCTGAGAACCTAGTTTCAGTACCGGTGTGACCTTGGGAGACAGAGACTGTGAAGGATCCTTCATGTTCCAGTTATAAACTGGTAACTCTTCCCTGTGACTCAGCAAAGCACAATCGACAGCTCCCCAAATAGCCTGATGCAGTCAAAAAAAAAAAAAAATACCTGAGGTGACAATCTGCTTTGTTACAGTGATGTAGATTTTGACAAGAAACCAGAAGGAAGTTGGTCTTACACAAGTGAATTTGTTTGGAGAGCTCCTGCCTGAGACAGGGACATATCCCACTTTCCCAAATTACTCTTTGTAGGAAAGAGTCGTTCATAAGCAGACGCTCCTAAGAGCGGCAGCCTCCCGAAAACTGATCATCTCTCACCCTTAGGACACTGCCTCAGCCGGGTGAGGCTTGGGAACTGCCCAACTGGCACTCGGAGAGCAGAGGCACTGCTCTTTGGATTTCTGAACCCTGGTAGCAAATACCTCTGAAGGATGCCACTGAAGAACTGGGCCACAGGTGGTCAAATCCAAATACAACACACAACACTGAACACCAGGACAGAGACACTGCCCTCGAAATGTCAGACAGGGAGGCTGTGGGTTCATCTTTGAACACGTGACACACGAGCAACTTGCAAAAATATAAAATCCAAGGATCTCCATAGTTACCAACATGACATCAAGACAAACAAGCATGAATAAAGGAAGAGTTTACAAATTTGACCTAATGTCTTAAGCTCTTACAAGCATTTGAAGCTCCTCACGCACACTGTCTGTCAGACATAGGGCCTGACAAGTATTTACTGCTTCAGGCTCTCAGAGAAAAAGCTTAATTGTAACACAAACCAGACAGCAATTCTCATCCTGGTGTGCTTCATTAAGAAGATCAAAGCAATACTGACAGCTATAGTCAGTAGAAAAAGGTAAGGCATTGAAAAAATATTTCAAGGTAAAGACAGAAAAATACTTTGCTTTTAATTTTGAACACAGCCAAAAGCAGCATTTCCTACTTGGGAAGAGATAGGGATTATCAGTGAAGCAGAATATATTTGCATTTCAAGTGACAAACACAAAGTTTAAAAATCAAAATATTTTAATAACCAGTAATTGGGACACAGCCCCTTACTTGCTTACTATATTTTGGGCTAGCAGCTACTCTACAGATGAAAGCCAGTTTAACATTTTGTGTGAGTTTTTTTGCCTTGCAACATACAAAGGTACATACCCTTATTCTATAATTCCAGCAACAGAGATGCAACATTTTAAATAAAATCTTAAAGTCTTTTGACTGTTTAAAGTCCTGTGCTGCCACACTGTACTATGCAAAGAAATTATTATATGGAGTTACAGAAAGCTAGCACACTGGAAACGTTGCCTCATTCCATAATTTATACAGACTTACACGCTTAAAGTGCCATCTTAAAAAGATGACACAAGTAATTCAGTAAAAACAGTCATGTGTTTATGCGGTAAATTAATAGTGTTGTTTAAAGCTGGCTATAGATTAAGCTGTTGGACCATGAATAAACAACTTTTTGCAACAAATACGCAATCCCAGAAATACAACTCACTTAAACTGCATTCACACTTACTGAGAATAAATGAAAATAAATGTATGCCCAAGAACAAAATAAAATCTCTTATTAAATCGTTTGCAGAATGTATTAGGTCTTTTTTAATATACTCGATACTTTATCAAGCTAGTTGCATATAAAGTGATCTCCACCATATACATTACAATTTCTGTGCATCATCTGAAAAAAGTCACCGAAAAGTAGTATTTTACAGGCTATACTTAACTTTTAATTAACCTAAAAGTGAACCCTTCTGTAATTTGATTTAAAGCACTAACCCGCACGTTGCTTCTAACTGCAGTATTTAAATTAGTTTTCACAGCAAGCTCAACCTGCATTTCAGTGAAAAGAGGTTACTGCCATCTCAACTTTTGAATTTCTATAGTTTACTATCTTAACACCGCAAAAAATGAATGTGGTGTTCACTCCAAATAAGGAAGAAGTATATGACAATTCCTTTACAACAAAGCCTGCTCAGAATACATGTCTCAAGAAAATTAGGAAACTCCTCCAGTAAAAGGAATTCACCCAAATTTGAATGAAAAAAAGATTTTAGGTTCTTCTTAATTAACGCTTGGAGCTGCTCATAAAAAGCAAAACCAGCAAGCACAACAGGTAAACCAGTATAGGATATGACGTAAAGCAAAGAAAATTAGAAAACAGCAGATTGTACCTGCAACAAACATTTCCCAATTTAGAACAAACTTTAAAAGGGATTCACACCAATAATTAACAAATAGGTTTTCTGGTATCTTCATAGGATGCTAGTTTACTGGCCAGGCGCATACATTGTAAATATACAAAGAATCCAGAGTGCTGAAATTTACACAGCACTTAAATCCTTTAACATAACAGAGGTGGGTAGGACACAGGAAAAATATTTAACAACTTATATAAATATATTAAAATCTCAGCAAGAAATGTAAGAGCCCATGCACACAAGACAGTAAAGTGAAAAAACATTTAAGACTTGACTTTTCCTTTCAACAGCACTGACACCTGAACTCCAGAAAGTGAACAGTTTACAGTATAACAGTCTTTCTCCACACAACCTGTATGTACTGAATCATACTGACATTACACAGCACATGAACAAGCAGCAGATGCATCAAGGGAACAGGAGCTATATGCATCATGTGGCCTGCCTAGTTAGAGGCAAGTATCAGAAAAATTGTTTCTGACATAGGCAGAGATACAATCAATATAGCTAATTGTATACCCGTCATTTTCAAGAGTTAATCCACAGTATGGGAAAGGGGAGCTTTAGATCAAAATTATGTACCCAGTCTCAGAAGTGACAGAAGCAGAGATTTATCTTTCAAAAACTGGGTCCATTCTGGACTGGCCTTGATGCACATGCAGTACATTTGTTTTCAGAATGCAAGATTAATTGGGAATGTCTGCACTGGTGTTTCGATTTCCGTATTTGTGATGGATGATCAGCAATACAACTCCTAAGAAGAAGCATATGGACCCAACAGTGATGTAAGCAATTCCCAGGAAGGGATTTTTGCCTCCCATCCACGAGATGGTGCTTAGGATCATTCTTTTTCGTCCATCAAAACTGTGTACAGGATAATCTGAAAAACATTTAGGAAAACAAGCAGCATGTTTCCAAATTCAGCTTTATGTGTCAAGCACATTAAAATTTTGGGTCATTTCACTCAGGTTCCAAAGACAAACTGCTGCCTTTGAATTCTGAAGTGCAGATAAGAAACGTTTAGCTGTTCTTGTAGGCTAAGACTAATCTGGGCGCTTTCAGGTACTCCAAGAAAAATGCCACGTTAAGAGATGTTAACTCCTTTTTAAGGCAAGAGTAAATGCATGATTTTGTGAGTTTTTGCAAGCAGCTTCAATAAAATGAGGGAAATCTAAATTCTAATTCTTGAATATATTCTAGTACAAAATTTTTCTTTATGTTCCTTCAGTTTTATATGCACTCCCCACAGTTTTGCAGCAAAGGAAAATACTGCAGTAGCTATTTTTAAAAGAACATTAGGTGGTTTTGAATTTTAAGAATTCAGTAACTATAGCAACCCTGCTCCTCTAGTCTCCTGCACTTCTACCTAGTCTTTAGTTTGTCCAAATCAGAATGACAGACCTCCATCTGATCCACAGCTCTGGCATTTTCCTGACTTACAAAGTCAGTCTGCCCCTTGATTACATATTGTCATTACACCTTGAAGTTAAAGTTCTCAAATTTCTGGGCTATCAGCTACCTCTGTTCTTTCCTTTTTCCTATGCTTCTCTCACTTCCTTTAAGTGCCCAAGCAATCCTATTTCCCTCTCATTATGAAGTGACTAGTTCTAAAAAACTTGCACAGAAGTAAAAGACGGTAATATTCTACCCAGTTCTCACTACCAGTTTTCATCCTCAGCTCAAACCCATCTTTTTTGGTTTTAGAGATGGTAAAAAAAAGAAAGCCCAGTTCAATTTGAACGTGCTCAAATATATGCCCGTGTAATCCAACTAAGGCCCTTAGCCAATTCCAAAGGTTTTCCAAAGGATACTGTATGCAATTTCCAAAGAGTATTTTCCAGCCTGTAAGGTAGGCTGTAAGTTATTCTTCCTTTCAATGAGACGATACAGCTTGCGAAACGTTGGCAGAGCAGCAGTACGCATCCACACAATGAAGTCTTCATTGATAAATCCATTGTTGTCAGGGTCCGGGTCCAGCATATACACTGGCTTGGGCCAGTTTACAGGTTTTGTTGTGCCTAGAATTAAACAAAAACAGTAACCATAAAGTATTTAAAATATAGGACTAAATAACACACTGGCTCTTCAAAATTCATTCCAATATTACAAAAAAAAACCCTGCTATTATTCACTCACTACTATTGCAAGACACTGGGCTGTTTAAGTTGAACTTTTTATTTTGCAGCTTAAACAGTACTGCATATCCATTTATTCTCATGACAGCACTGTCCATTTGTTTAAACAAATTTGCCTCCCCCACATGTTTATATAGCTAGGAAGTCCTGTCCCAGAACATTACTCTACCTTAGTGAAATAGTTCTCCATTATGATGATAGCTTCTCTGCTCACTTGTTAAGAGTTTGACTACCACTTCCTGGACCATAAGCAAATAAAATTATGTACAGTATTTTGGATGATGCCATACTAACGCTTTTGCTAATTTTATTGGAAATACGATTTTACGCTGTAGTCGGATAAGGCACCTGCTTTTCCAAGGGTAGCACAGTCACAGCCAAATTACATGTTACCAAGTAAAAAGCCACATCAGGTTAAACCTGAAATTATTATATACCTTGCATAAACACACACACCCCCCTTAGAGCCCTGAGGAAGATTATTTTCAGACATTGGTAGCCAAAGAAAACTTTGATTTACCAAACTGTATTTAACCTAATAAATGAGAGACATCAGTCACTTCAAATCACAAAAAAGAATCAGGTTTTTCAAAACCTTTGCAATCTACCAGTAGAAACATTTAAATGAAAACTCCATATGAAGGGTTTGATTAAACAACTGCAGGATTTCTTTTCAAATTAAATCCAAGCACTATAGCAGTTGTACTGGTTTGGGCTGGTATTGGGTTAGATTTTTTCATAGTAGCTTGTATCCTGCTATGTTTTGGATTTGTGATGAAAACAGTGTTGATTACACACTGATGTTTTATTTATTGCTGGACAGTGCTTACACAGCCTCAAGGCCTTTCTGCTCCTCAGACTGCCCTCCCAGCAAGTAGGCTGGGGGTGCCCGAGAGGCTGGGAGGGGACACAGCTGGGACAGCTGACCCCAAACACCACAGGGATATTCCATACTATATGGTGCCATGCTCAGCAATAAAACTGGTGGGTAGAGGTACGCAGGGGCTGCCATTGCTTGGGGACATGGTTGGGGAGGAGCAATTATTTTCTTTTGCATCACTTGTTTTGCTTGGGTTTTATTTTCCTCCTTCGTTGTGTTTTTTTTTCCCTTGCAATTTTTCTTTTTTATTATTAAACTGTCTTTATCTCAACCCACGAGTTTTCTCACTTTTACCCTTCCAATTCTCTCCCCCTTTACATTCAGTAAAATGTCGTCAGCGAGGTATATCAGTGTGTTTGAAGTGTTTTGTTATTCTTAAAATTTCACATCTTCTATTTTACCTTGGAAAAGCGCAGTTAAGTTATTTCCATCTCCTGTAGGATTCCTGAATTTTACATTTTTATCTGTCCACCATGCAATGCCTTTTTTAATCAAAGTAATAGGAGTCCTTGTGTCATTATCTATGCGATATAATTCCAATGTATCTAAGGAGAAAATCAAATTAGAAAACCAGCTGAAGAAACTTTCATTAGACAGAGATACTGACAGGCAGTGAAACAATTACCTCCAAAAGAAGCAAAATAAAATAAAATGGACAAGGCATTTATTATCTGCCTGACACAATCACAAGCTGTTCTGTAAGAATCAATGTGTATTAGATAGCAGCGTATTATCCATATATGATATCTATATGTCTACTCCACAGCACTAACAGCTTCTCACAGCAGGCATTTTCATCCTTTGTACACTATCAGATTAAATTAATTCTGATAGCAATTTTGAAAAAAGCAACAGCAGTACAATACAAGATATTTATTTTATTCTGAACAATGAAAAAATGTGTTAATTCAAACAAAAAAACCCATGATGTCTTTACTCAGAATATTTTGCAACACAACACAAAACATACACTAGATCACAAAAACATCTAAGTGATAACTTAAAGGTGTTACCATACCATTAAACATACTGTTGGCAATAGCTCCACAAGGAGCAATGGGTTTGTCCTCATTTGTGCGGTAAGGCTCACATTCCTTGCTTGGATTCTGACAGTTAGAAAGAAAAAAGGCAGATGAGTCTGTGCCAATTTATCCAACTAACCTGTTTTTTGACTACAGTACCTCAATAATGTGCGCATCTTAAAAGGTACCCCAAAATAATCTTTTCACAAGTCAGGATATCTACAAATACTTCAGCATTCAATACTAGTTAGCATGATTGATTTTTCTTTTACAAACAGGAATAAAATCTAAATAAAACAAACTCAGAATCCCATCATGGTCATACTAAAAATAAGGCTTTTCTTGGAAGCTATTAGAATGTTTTTTCTTTTATCTTTTAATAGAAACAGTTTTCCAACATGAAGTACTCAATTATTCTTTCATTAAAGGGTTTTTTTTTTAAGTATGCATCAATGTTACAGAAAATAGCCTATAGTAAGAAACCAAGCATAACTTAAAATGCAAAAGGTTGTCAGGACTCCAACAGCATGACAAAAATGAAAGCAGAAAAAGTCGCACCAAATCCTCTGTCAGTCATCAGATGTAACTCCCTGAAACTCTCCCCTTTTTTAAAGTTTACAGGTAAAAAGAGAGAATCATTGCTGCTGGAGCAAGAACTCAACTGTATTTCCACTCCTTATAAAAATTAGGAAAAGGAGAGGTCTGGCCCTAAACATTACACAGTGGATTGAACAGAATAAACAGTACTAATATTTTCCAGTATCACTGATGTTCGGTATTGAACCAGAGTCTACAAAACACTGCACTTAGCTACACTATCCAAACCAAGTGTTAGGTAACCAAATATTGTTTTATACTGAAAACAAAAACTTCAGGCAGAATGGATACAGATAGATACTACTGACTGAAGACAACAAGATAGTTTAAAACTATTCAAATTTGAGTAGTGATCGAAGTACTGCATTGCTGTCCACTTAATGAAACGACTGACATGAAATTTTACAGTATTTTACAGTTATTTTCTGTAAACAAAATATTAATTCCTTATGGGGTTTCTTCTGTTATGCAAAAAATCTAGTACTTCATTATTATTAAACTATATACTCTGCTACGTGGTGATTTGTGCAATAGTCAGAAGCTAGCTGCTTATTATTATTCAAGCATAAATACCTACAAGTAGTGAACTGTTATCTCCATTTAATTGGCTGTCATCTCGAGATTTCACATAACGACGATGGTTTTGATAGAAGTTGGAAAGTCCATAATACATGAATACATTGCTCTACAAGAAGCAAGATAGGTCAAGAGGGTTTTTCACTCGCACGAAGAACAGATCAGTAAAACATACAAACACACTAATTACCATAACATTTAAATTTTAGCCTTTTAAACTCTGTGTTTAGTATACATTCATGAAGTAGGAGCCTCAAGCATGTCTTCACACTGACTACAAAAGAGCACTATCCTAACATAAGCTGGCATTCTGAAGTCAGACAGTATCACTGTGCCATAAACTCCCAGAATGATGTTCACCGGCACTAATTCCAACACCTATCTTGTATGACATTAAGCACATAAGCCTCATTATTTGCCTCCAATTTGTCAGAAAGCACTTATCTGGTATTTCCAGTTCTTGTTGAGATGAGTTTTTTGTAAATCATGCAGGAATAGCTGATCTACTCGCCAGCTATATCACACATACGCTAAATCTAAATGTGTAAAACACAAGTATTCCATTTAATGTTGTACATTTCCAGATAAACAGAAGCATTAAAAACCCATCTCATCCCTGCTACTGAAAAGGCACACAAAAAAGTTCTAAAAACGAGTTCTAGGAGAACTAGAAATAATCCTTTAAAATAGAAAAAATATTAGGACTTAAGCTTTCCTATCGATTATGAAATAAACCATATAAAACTGATCTAGCTTCACTTTGCATACAGGGTAGCATACCTCAAACGAATGTTCCAGTGTGAAATTGATGGTGCAAGTACAAGGTGGTGTGCTGTCCCAGGACACATTTAAACATTTGTTGCAGGGACTAGAAGGCTCTGTTCCTGTATAGTCAATCTATAACAGAAAAAAAGTCTTAATTTACAATGGGAGACCAAAACAAAAAAATTGATTAATAAGCCAGAGAGTTAACATGGCATTCACTTTGCAATCTTAATTACACTTTTAACTCCAAAAGCCCAGTCAGACCTATTTGATGATCTCAAGAGGTCTCTTCCAACAATGATTTTGTGATTCTGTCTATAGGCTATGATTTCAGCCTCAAACAAATTTAACAGAGGTGGCCTATTAGAGCTAGGGGAAAACAAAACAAAGCCCCCAAACAAACAAAACAAAAAACCATACACCAAAACACAAACAGCAGATATTCCAGACAACATGATGTTTCCAAATACACTCACATACTATATGACAAGCAGACCTGAGCTTTTGCCTGCTTTCCAGAGAGGTTAAATTTTTAGAGACCTAGATATTTAATAAAAAAGGTTTTAGTCAGAAAACTTGCTTTGCTGACCGTTTTTAGCCATCTAAGTGATCAGAACATTAAAAAAAAATTACGAAAAAAATAATCACTAAATGCCCAAGAACTCTCCTAAAATAGGGAAGATGAAGACACTAATAATGAACTGCCAGGAGTGGTAAAATACCAGTAGATACATAATAAAGATGATCAGTGTTAATCTGGTTTGTACAATATTATCTGTCCTTAATAGTGTAGCTCAAAAAAAGCCAGTATTTGAAATCTGTACATACAGGCTACCTGGACAGTATGCGTAACGTATCCTGAGTGGCCACAAGCTCACCCTACGGCCAAGTGAAGTCACTTGACCACATCAGCTCTCCCTCCTGTATAGCTCCAGCATATGAATGGGCACAAAATAATTAACTCGCCACAGCAGCCTAACTACAAGTGCAGCAGGAGAAAGCATCCCTCTGCCTACAAACTATGTATTTCTATGCTTGCTGTGAACTTCCTATTTAGAATTTAGACTCAGATCCGTGCAACATATACCAAGTTATGGCAACAAACTGTTCAACAGCAGTATTGTTTAAACTACAACATCTATATAGTTTTATGAAAGGCTGCTGCAAATGGTTTGCCCCGATTTATGCTTGTAGTGAAACACATTATCAAGAATTAGAGTGATTTGTGATCTGTCCTAATACCTGTATTAAGGTTAGCTAAAACAAACACGTAGTTTCAAGGTTCAGGGAACAACTGAAGCCTATTTTCCTCTGGATATTCTTCAAGGTCTCTCTTCCTGTGATTTCTTCGATATCTATTAAGCTGCAGCCCTTCCCTCAGCTCTTTTATTGGCATCTGCTCTGCTGCCAGGTTTCTGACAGATGAGAACTACACCCTAACGAGCCTAGCTGAAACGAGTCAGCTTCAGAAGCTATTAGCTGGCAGAGGGAGAGAGAGGATCGCATAATCTTTGCATCCTTTGCTGAACAAGATAGAGTTTATGCTGATCTAGAAATAGCACTGCTGCAGCAGTCCTGAAAGAGCTCTGTTTAGCTACAGCAGACAGACCACCACCACTGCATCTCATTTATTCAAGGCTAATTTGGTGGTTTGTTTTTTTTTTTCCCTGCTACAGCAATTTTAAACAAGCATTTCCTTTCGAAAGAACTTAAACCTCCATATCCTGAGCTAGTTCTTCAGTGTGTGGAGAAGTTTAAGATCAAGAACAAAACTCAAATACCCCAAGGTTGCAAAAGATCTAAAGACTTCACTTTTAAATAATAATTTAAAATTGAATGAATTCTATGGAGCACAAAATTGATGTATGTTGAAACAGAATCATGCTTTTGACCACTGCTATCAGTTTCAGTGCTATCCAAGAGCTTTCCTGTACAGTAACTGCCAACACAAGGAGGCTTTTTCTGCATCCACGTTTACAGGTTACATTCAACAGATCCTTTAACTAAAGGGATAGAGGAATCTGTCTTCATCTCTTGACAAAATAATCAAACCAGGGCTTTGAGAACCGAAGGACTGACTTTGGGGTCCCTCGCAGGAACCCACACGATCCCACCGTTCTGTCCCCAGGGATCGGCCAGCAGCTGAGTAGGCAAACCCACACAGAGTGAGCCCTTCCCAACAACCCCTGATCTAAGGACACTGGGTATATCCAAGCTATCTGGCACCAACAGCTTTTCAGGCTGTCGATGATGTCCTTCTCAGTTGACTTGCACTTTTGCAGTATAGAAATAACATAACTGTTGCACACACATATTCTCCAACCCATTTATGATTTTGTAGACTTCATCTGCTGTCACATATTTATCCTAGTTTGCTTGGCCACTTCTTGCATAAAAGGCACCCCGTAACTCTGGTCCTCTTTGCTCATCCCTCTTTGTAGGATTTTTTTATTAAGTTTTGTATCATTTTTGAGGTGGGAGTACTGGAACTGCACACAACACTGACAATGCATGCAACAGTAACCTACTTTCTTTCAGTTCTTCATTCCTTAAAGTCTATTTGGCTTTTTAACTATGATTATGCATTTCACAGCAGCAGTCACAACACAAAGATCTCTTTCCTATATAATTAATGTTTTGGATATTCCTCAAATTTTATCACATTTTAATATGCTCTGTCAATGCTTCTCATCCATTCTAAAAATAATAATAAAAATAATTTTTAAAGAGTCGGGAAAAAGTACTCTTTCGCTTTTTAATAACAGGGAAAAAAGACACTCACACAGCTGATTCTCATTTTCCACCCAAATGAACTATTTTCATGACAGACCCAAGATAAATGGCTGTTTATACCCTTTAAAACAGTAAGAAAATGCTAGAGACCAACCAACACAAAAAAACCCAATAATTTAAGTATACTGAAGCTGTTGGAAATCTTCCACAATTGAATTCAAGAGAGCCTATAAAGGAAATCAATGGACAAGCTACATTTTGCTGCTTAGTCCCTGCACCTGTATGAGAACAGCACAGTTCAGAGATAATAATGGCTGCAATATCTAGTTCCAGGAAAGGGTGATTTGAACGGTACATAAATATGTATTTCAGGGGCATAAATTATACATCTTATTCAATTCAAATACACTAAGTTTACAGGCACCTTTTTATATATATATATATATATATACACACACACACTTAACAAGCATGCCATTGTCTAGGAGGTGGGTGTAAATAACTACCTCTGCTTCCTGTCCCGATTACATTTTTAAAAGAGCTTAGTCACTCCACCTAGCTTCTAGATGTCTTGTCTCCCAGAGCTAAATTTACAGCTATTTGTGAACAACACTTGGAAGTTACTAACCAAACAGCACGCTAAGCAGGGACGTATCTCAGCTAAGCATATGGGTGATAGCAGTGTCTTAAACTGCATCCCTCACTGGTGTTCAGAGCCCAAATGCTGGTCTGTAAACTCCTTTGTCTATGCTTTGCTGCAGCAATTGCAAAGCCTTTTTTGATTTAAACTTTTTTTTTTTTCCCAAAAAAAATATCAGCTGCCTTTAGAATGATAATCTGACTCTCAGGATTTCTGCATTGTAACAGTTGACAAAAAACACGCGAGTACCCAAGTTTCCCCATTCTCACTTGCATACCCCGACTGTCTGAGCGCGGTCTCAGCAGTCACAAACTCTGTCCCTCCTGTGCTCATGAAAACCCAATGATCTGTCTTGGGAGAGCTTTATGTGAGGTAGATAATACAAGTCTGAACGCACACAGTAAACAAAACAAACCAACCAACCCAAACCCTTTCTAATCCTGAATATCTTGAAATTACAAAGGGTGGAAGGGCAGCACCTGCCAACGGGTTTCCAAATATAAATGGCTACTATTGCTTTATATACGCAATTTGATTGCACAGGGGAGCATCAGTCATGCTCCCAGCTCACCTATGGATTTTTGTACTGCACATTAGGTGGGAACATCTAGTTTTTGGCTCCTACTGGAACTTATCAGGAGTACAAGACTGAGCTGCTAAGCAACAATAGTACATAAAAATTCTGTATATGCATACAGCAGCAATATAGGCACAAGGAGTTGCTTACATTTTTGGACTAATTAAACTCTGATGCATTTCCTGTCCCTACAGATCAACACAGATCCAGTCATAATGGAAAAAAAAAAGGAGATCTACTTATCCAATTATATTTACTTTACAATCATTATGATCGAAGACTTCGTATTGCTTTATTATAGAAAAAGCTATTTTAAATGCAATTATATAAAAAAAATATTCTTGCTAACTGATTTTTACTTTTCTCCATTGAGTGTCCTGTTGAAAACATGTGATTGTATTTACCTTAAATATAACTATGACAATTTAAAAGTCTACATGCCCAAGACAGCTTGGCAATGTTCTCTGAAGCACTTGTGTCAATTTTCAGATGTCCTGTATACCCTCAAACCTTAACACAAAACCAAATATCTTTTCAACAATATGCTTATATACAACATTTGGTCACTGTAAAATACACTTCAGCTTTCATTATTTTCACTTCTGCTCTTCTCCTTGATGGGAATTTTAGTTCTAAACATAAGAGGAAAGTGAACCTTAAATTGGTTTTATTTTAATGTTGTTAGCATTTTAACAGACATATGAAAATATAATACCATTCACTCCCTGCCTCAAGATTTCTTTAGTTAATTGGGCTTCACTGCCACACTGCTCCCACGAGCCAAGCCACCGTCTTGAATCTTACTTATTTGAAAGTGACAGCTTACTCTGATAACTAGAACGATTTGATCCACAAAAATTCATATCGTCAAATATAGCAATCCATCAAACAACTACACTTTTTTTGCTAATCTTTGTTGCATCAGCTCACTGAAACTAATCATAGTTGTCAATTTCCTTCTCAAGGTTGTCCCTAAGCCCTTTGGGTTGTTTCCTTACAACACAAAGCGATTCTATTATCAACTAGACCTAACTGTGATACACGGCTTAGTTTTCGGTTAATGCTCAGCAGCTCTTCACAGGCGTGGTGTGGTTAATTATCAGATGTAAATGACTCAGTTTTTGTAAGTATAATTAGAAAAAGCCACACTCTTCCATCTTTGTTTCTAAGTTTACTCCAGACACCCTGGTCTCCCATACAGCACCTAAAACATTAAATCATTAGTGCGCGTAAGAATTACAGAGGCGCGTTCACCACAGAGTTTTGTCGTGAAACTACGATTACTTTGGGACATTTAAAGACACATAGCCCCTTGCCACAAGCCATCCCAGGGACGACGCACATACTTCCCGTACGACTGAGAAGAGAACTTGCACTGGGCTGTGTTGATTAACTACGGGCATTAACTCCCCCGGGAGTTCACTCGGGAGCACCGGCAAGGCTGACGGGAGGGCTGCGATCCACGCGGAGGGCACTCCGCAAGTTCAGCTCCGGGTAATTAATTAATGGATGGTTTGTTAAAGAGCACAAACGTTAAACTGCACGGGAACAGCCGAGGCGAGGCGTGCCCGTTCAGCACAGAAACCACGTACGCCGCCCCTACACCCCGCCGGGTATCGGCGGGGGCAGGCGGCAGCACACTTTGCCAAAAAGCGCCAGG